TTTGCAAACATCTCTCAAACCCACACAAACCACTTCCTGAAGCATAAGAATACTTCTATCTACACTACCGTTCAAACGTTTGAGGTCAGCAAGATTTATTTAATTTTTTATACAACAAGGATGCATTTAGTAGATCAAAAGAAACAGCAAGGCATTTGTTACAAAAGATTTCTATTTGAAATAAAGGCTGTTCTTTTGAACATGCTATTCATCAACGAATCCTTTAAAAAATTATTTCCACAAAAATATTAAGTAGCACAACTGTTTTCATCATTGATGATAATAAGAAATGTTTCATGAGCAACAAATCAGCTTGTTAGAATATTGAAGGACTGGAATATCAGATGCTCAAAATTCAGCTTTGTCATCACAGGAATAAATTACATTTTAAAATACATCAAAATAGAAAACAGCAATTTTAAACCGTAATAATGTTTCACAATATTACTGTTTTTACTGTACTTTGGTGACCTTAAGAGACTTTCAAAAAAAAATGTTTTTTTAATTTTACTGACCCCAAACCTTTGAACAGTAGGTCAGGTGATACCTTTAATGGTTTTAGCATGCACATGAAAGTACCTGAAAAGAATCACCATTAAACAATTTGTGTTGGAAAATTCCATTTATTTCTCCTTTTTGGATATTCACAATGCCTATTTGTCATTTTGTCATTAGCTCACTATGCCAGCACCTCATCCAATGTCATAATGGTCTGAAACCGGTCTTTGCTGAGGTAAGAATTAACATTAGATAACATTATGGAAGTGGTATAGTGATAAATCAGAGTAAGAAGTGAGTAACATGGGAAACTCCTCTAGTTCACAATGTGCCTAGTGCTAAAAACAGAGCGACTTCAGCTGTGTGCCTTCAGGGAGCTGCTTTTCATTCTCACACTCTGAAATAGTGTGGGCTGAGTCAAGCTCCAGAAACCCTAAGATCAGCCTCCGAGCACAGCAAGGCTTTCTTTCTTTTTTTTTTTTTTTTTTTGCCTTCCTGTGCTACTTCCTCTTGTTTGTTTTTGTGAACTACACATGTGAATGAAGCGATGCAATAGCTAAGCTTTATAAAAAGAATTGTTCCAAATAACATCATTTCATAAAGTAAGATAAGATCTGGTCCCTCCTTGTATCTCCAAGCTTTGTGGATGCTTTAATGTGACACAATCTAGGTGCCTTGTTTCAAGCTGTTCACGAAAAAAGTTGCAATCTACAAATTGCAGGTCCTGAAGCATGTGCAGACCTAAACGCCACAAATTATAGGTATTAATCCACAAATTACAGCTTCTGCTTGTTGATGGAACATTGCTGTAGGGATGCACTCCCATTCAGACGCATTGATGTTTGGCAATGGTCTTCATTGGAATAGCAAACCCATTATTGAAGATGGGTGTATACATAGTCATGGCCAAGTAGTATATGATTCTTTGTTTTGTGTCATTAGCTTATGTAAAGCACCAACAAATTTATGAATAGATCCATATCATCACCGTCACTGTCCACACATCTGATTCAAGTTCAACATTCAGAAGCCTCATATGATTCCTTCAACAAGTTCTACAACAGTCCAGACCAATCCAGATCACAGATCTAAGATCTTGGACTTCCATTGAGGTGTCGATTTCATGCATTTATGCCCACTAAAGCTCAAAGTATACTTAGTTTTTGTATGTGTACGCTAACGTATACGTACACTCGAACGCGTAGCCTTTCAAAGTAAACTCCGTTTGATAGTGTGCATGAACACAGGCGGTCGACATGCGCTCTAGAAAGCTTCATCTTTGTCCAGAGTCTGATGTATTTTTCTCCAGAAGTTATGACTGCTAAAAATGTTGTTATACTCTTTTAAACTAAAGTTGCGTCTCTCTCATAACCGGCTCACACAAGTGCTTGTCAATGCAGGCGTCTGTTGTTGTTGCAGTCTTCAGCATTATGTTGTTGTTCCATCTCTTTAGTTCCATTTTCTACATTGAAACAACGGCCCGGGCCAGTGCAACAACTGATTAGTGCAAAACCAAGTCAATGTGCATGTGCGACCTGTGTGTAAAAAGTATGCACGGTTACAAACATTGGATGGTGCGCGTACAGTACGCGCATACTATTGTGACGAAATTTGCATCATGCACACTGTACGCAGACCCTTGCGTATGCGTAAAAACCGAAGTATACTTTGACTTTAAGACTCGAGGCCTGCCTAGGGAACATCCAATCACCTAATGGAGAAATTATCAACCCATTCTCATGAGAATTCATAGGTATTGTACTAATTGTTAATATTGGATGAATTTGTATGATCTGACTTGTACAAAAATGTACGATTAGTAGGTAAAACATCACCATGATGATCCACGAAACCATGCGGGGCATGAGCAAATCATACAAAAACTTACAAATGAGATTATTCGACTAATTCAACAAATTATTTTTAAAAAAATCTTTAAAAAAAAAATACATTTTTTTTTTTTATAAAAACAAACTGTCATGAGACGTTTAGAATCGTATAATGTTATAGTTTTATAATGTTAGTTATATAATTTTTATATATTATAATGTCATTTTTTACATCTTAAATCATACAGAAACGCAAAACTCTCAATTAAACAAACAAACTATTCATTGAAATATACCCAGGATAATGCATAAACTTATATTAAGGATGAAATGAGCAGTCTCTGCTTTACTGGTGGCACCAAATGGAAACTGCAATCAATTTTCAACATTGCAAAGCAACACTTGTTCATCTTATGGTGTAAAATTGTTGCAAACCCCTAATTTATCCAAAAAACAAAAAGTAAGACAAGGGACTGTTTATTTTTAATCCTGTTCATTTTGATTATTTTTGTAGCTGTTAGTGGCACAGAAATTACACACTTTACATTTAAGCACGCTGAGGAGATGGACAGAAAGAAAAAGGATGCTTGGGTGGACGCACAGAAAAAACAGCCAAAATATGGCGCAATATCACCGACAGACTTTCATCGGATGACCTTGAAAAATCATCCCTTCTGTCCGCTGCTTGGTCTGTGGGGGGACTGAACATGTAGCATTCAGCCGATGTACTAGATCCATGCCAAACACATGTGAGAAGCCATACATCCATGCATACACACACACACACACACACACACACACACACACACATATTACTTGGGATCACTTGGGACACTTTTGTCCCTGGCTCGACTTTGTGGTGCTGAATCAATGAGAATGTGGCCGCTTGGAATCAGTGTTCCAGCCCAATCCCACCATCCCTCAACCCCTCCATCTCTATCATTTATTCTCCAAGTGCAACGTTCTCAGTGACTCACATATTACATAAGGCAAGAGACACTCATTTGCCTGTTGAGCTGCGTTCACGTGTTGTTAAGGGGAAACAGTGCAGATGCCGTGTGGTTTTGGGAACGGAGAGTTAAGTGCTATTCGGACAGGATTAGTCAGTTTCAGTTCAGTTAAAATTATTAAAAGAGAACGGTTTGATTTCAAGTAAAAATTCGGATGCAATTGGGAGCATCTACTGTTACAAAAGGTCATCACAAGACCTATTTTAATAATACACCAGTTACTCTTTATTTTCACATTCGCGTAACTTCCAATATTTTTGTAGATAGATGACTACAGAATTTTACGCAGATTTGCAGTAAAAAGCATTTGCAAACCTGTTTGTCATAGAAACTTAAAAGGCTTCCCTGCAGTTTTCCACCAAAATAAAAGTTTGAGGGTTTAAAGCTTGCAAGTGAAGGTTTTTTCTTACAGTGCATTTGTATTACAATAAGAATTTTTCTGTCTTAGAAATAATAATAACAAAATTATTTATTATTATTATCTTTTCAATTTCAGTTCATAATTTACTTTTGGCCATTTGACCATAGGATTTTCTTAACTTGGATACTGTGTTTTATGCACAATTTTATGCAAAAAGTTTCCATGTGGTATTGAAAATTGTATTGAATATCAATATATTTGAAGGCATTGTATCAAAGTTAGAAATTCCAGTATTGTGAGAACACTACTTATATATGTGTTATATTTATAACATTATGTATATAAATAAGACTACAGTGGCCATTCGGAACCATCTGTGATCTGACTCTCTTTTTTGACTTCATTTGCTATTTATGCAGCAAACATGTACTTCAAGCACCAACTGTTATTTTACCCAGAAAGCTGGCAAAGAGGTCTACAAACACAAAATGCTGAACCACACATTCACCTGACCTCCTCAGATATTAAAAAAAAACAACTAATCCCATCTGAATAGGGCCAAAGAATACCTTGAGCATTATAAAAACAAACACACAAGTACCCAAGTGACTGAGGTCACACATACACACCGCAGTCTTTGAAACAATACTTCAACTGCCTGTCAACAATGGACATCTGTCTTTGTTCTCAGGCTAAGTTTGCCATGCAGAGCAAGATATAGAGCTATGTTAGCGATGGAGACACTGGATGAGACTCACACAGAAAGGGGCAACAGGCATACAAGGCCTCAGTGACGAGAGAGTGAGAGAGAGAGAGAGAGAGAGAGAGTGAGAGAGAGAAAGCCCATCCCCCATCAACACCTCCCAGATGCTCGACTGAAAACAAAGAAATGATGCTCATTTTATTCCATCCGGTAGCTTAAGTCCAACGGTTATTTCTGTTATCACAGCACTGAGAGCGACACAAACAAAATAACAAAAACCTTTGTCTTTGACGTCAAGAATCATAGATGCCAACAGACAAAACCATCCCACTATAAACCATCTGTGACTCAGAATTATGCAGAAACTGAATTCAATATAATATAATGAAAAAAAATAAAAATAATAATAATGCCTGAAATCTCCATTCCTGCAAGTTACTTTACACATTTCATAATCTAAGGAGATTTTACTTCCTGCTAAATCAATGAGGCAGTTGTCAGCATCTTAAATATCAATGCTTAAAGAGTGTCAGAGTGGATGGCATTGGAAGGTTTAGGTGTAGGAGGAATATGGAGGAGGTTTTTGTGAATAATCTCACCTGAAGCTTGGCCTGTGGGGAGCATGCCGAGAAGGAGGAGCAGCAGGGATGTGGCGGCCACACTGTGAGCGAGCGAGGCTCTTGTCTCACACGCTACCATTCCATTGCACATCTTTCAGCCCTGCTTTTGCAGCAAGAGTCCTCCGGCTGAACCTAGCAACAGAAATGCACACTTATAATTACAAGGAGCTCAGTTAGTGTATTAAAACAAAACAGAAGTGGTAGCTACAACATTGTTTATGAGTTTTTTACCACGCTCACATGGAATTTGTGCTCACAGAATTTCACTGAAAATCAAGCAGATTTCTTATAACAAAAATCTCAGATTTCTTATAATCAATAGTCTCACATGGTAAAAGCAGGCTATATTACGGCCATAAATATTCTTTACCTTACAAAAAAATGAATTTAGCATATTTTAAAGGAGACATATTATGCCCCTTTTTACAATATGTAACATAAGTCTCTGGTGTCCCCAGAATGCGTCAGTGAAGTTTCAGCTCAAAATACTCCACAGATCATTTATTATATCATTTTGAAAATGCCCATTTTGAGTGGAAGCAGAATGATATACGATTTTCTGAGTGCACACATCCGAAGCACACGGACAGAAAGCGGCTGTCACAGCATGTGAGTACTAAACTAAGTTCTCATTCACACACAAGTTTACGTTAAAAACACACATGAGTTACAAAAACAGTCGGCTATGTCCGTGAAGGTAAACAGCTGGGAAATAATTTGCATGATTATTTTAGATCTATGTGGCAAGCAATATACAGTAACAATATACAGCAAGCAATATACAGTAAATAAATCAATAAATCCACTGCTTTCTTGTCTACTCTGAGGCTGGGACTCTAAATAGTGTTCTGTGCAGCCAAAGACATGCCAGTTAGCATGTTTTCCTCAAACTTTCGGCATGTCATTAGAACTGGTACACCATTGTCGCTTGCGAAATCACAATGATGGCGCCGTGGGTGGAGACGTACAGATTAAGGGGCGGTAATATTATAATGAGATCCCTTTGCAACGTCACTAGGGGAGCGAAATCAGACGCGCTCGTTTTTTCAGACGCTTGCAGAAAAAAGCTTACCAAAACAAAGTTACTGGGTTAATCTTTTTCACGTTTCCTTGGTTGGTAGATGCAC